ACAATATATTTTTTTTAAAGTGAATTAACTTTAAATAGTTACTAATTAATATCTGAAAGTTCAGTTACTAATTCTTAAATGTACTTCAAAAATACATACATGTAAAATGTATAAACATTTTTATTATTTTCACCTTTTAACAGAAAAAAGTACTTTAATCAGTTTTTGTACAAATGATACGAACAGTGGCAGATTTTGCTTTCGTTAAGAAACATAATTTTGTTCATAACAATTGCCCTGTAGGCCTGCTTTTGCTAATAAAAGTTTCTCTAGTGTGTCATTACTAATATTAGATCTAAACTAGTCCTTGTTTTTGGAATAACACTAAAAATCCTCTTACACTCTGCATTACTATGGGAAATTGTCAGGATGGCCAACATTATTTTGGACAGTTTACTGTACAGTACAAAGTTAGAGATTCGGACATCCAATATCCAGAATAATCTAAAATCCGGACCTCAAAGCAATCACCAACTTTTTTTTATTTATTTATTTTGTGCATTTGTGCTTTACGCATGCGCATGTGGAGAGTCTGGATTCTTAATTTCAATTCGGTACCAAATAAAATACCTCATTATTGGAGAATCAATCATTTTAGCATAAATTTGTTTGATCAATAATTTGGCTCCATAGCTGTGTATCTGCTTCGCATACATCTCAAATCAAAACATACTACATAGATACATCATTGATTTTACACACTTTATAGCCCTGATGAAAACCTGGCAAATATATTTTTTTATCATTATTTATTATATTTTGCTTTCATCATCACACGTTTATCAGCACATGACAACTTGAGTAATGACTCATGTAGTGATGCCAAAAAAAAATGTTTTTTTTAATTAGCAATTGAATAACAAAGTGTATGGTAACATTTTATGTTGACATTATGTTTGATGATGATTACAGATAATGCGCTAAAAAACGTTGACAAGAAAAATTTAATAAAAATTTTTTCGCATATGCTAAAAATCAATTTTGTTAATGATACTCATAGGCCAAAAGATTACATTTAATGCTATTTGAATTAAGAATAACTGATTTGTTATTCACATAAACCCAGAACGAGCGGCAGAGCTCGTATGGCCGTACTGACAGAAGACAAAGAAGGCGCTTGGTAGCACGAATTAAGAACCTACAGAGACAAATTATAAAGCTAGCAATTTATGTTGATATTATGAAACCAATCATCCTCAGTTTTCTAATCAGTTATCTACCAAATTCCACATATACTTAAGGCTTATTGAGGGCAGGTGCTAGAAATCTTACTGCATCAGGCAGTAAGATTTCTAGCACCGGCCCTCAATAAGCCTTAAGTATATCTGGAAATTTATTTATTCAGGACTCAAATAAGCCTTAAGCATGTGCAAGGAACAGGTGTAAGTATAATAAATAACTAATGTAAATCAGGTTTAATTGTTTCAGGGTGCAACAGAAGCAAGATAAAATTTAGTGGAACAACTTGTCTTTAGTCGACAATCTCATGATACATAGCCAAATATGTATAGTGAATGATAGCTATATTTTATGATGATAGCCGTGAATCTGAAGGATCTTTTGGATATAGAAAATTTTCTAATTAACAGATTTTGTAAAGAAATGTGGAGAAGCGGTAATATATGAAGATGATACAAAAGAATAATCATCCATGGTTCACTGAGCATATTGATGACAATGCTCAGTGATTTTTTTGCATTGGTGAGAATGTAATTTACAATGTGTAACACTGTTCTCATAACATCAGGATATTTTATATTTTGTAACGAGATGTTCTTGGTAAATTAAACAGGGAATCAGTATGAATTGTGGAATTTGAGAATCCTCTCTTAAAAGCCCAATAAGACGAATTTTTTTTACCCAGCATTGCTGGAGCTCCATCGGTTGCAATGGCAACAAGTTTATTATGAGGCACATTAAAAGTTTTCACTATGGAATCTAATGCATTTTTAATATCAACATTGCGGGTTGACTCTTGAAGTGAGACTAAATCTAATAATTCTTATTTAACAACGAAGTAAGGTGAAATAAAACGTATGAAAACTTCCAATTGTGGAAGATCTGTGATATCTGTTGATTCGTCAAGGGCTAAGCTGAATGCAATATTCTCCAAATCATTTTTAAAATTATATTCAAGAGATGTATTAATTGCAGTTATGCTTCGTTCGGTTGTGTGTTTCGAGATGGGAATTTGTGCAACAACTTCGTGCAATGCTGCATTATTTAGATCTAAAACTTTAAATACATCTTTCAAGTTTTTTTTTTAATAAACTCTCCCTCTCCATACAGGCGTTTTGCACGAGCCATATTCCAGCCAATAACAAAACTGGCTTCAGCCCCATTATTAGGTTGATTGCTGAAGATCATCAAAATTGACTGTTGTGTATTTAAATTTGATTTTAAAGAAGCAAGTTTATCCGATCTTAATTTGGAATTTGGTGGATACTGATTAGAAACTGAGGATGATTGGTTTCATAATATCAACATAAATTGCTAGCTTTATAATTTTTGACCGTAGAATTATAAAATAACACATAATGCTTTTCCGTTATTGTCAATAAAAAAGAAATTTTCCTTCCACTCATTATTAAAGCTATTTTCTTGCCCATACTTTCTTTTTTTACTTTCATTCTCTGTCATCATATTTTTAAAAGAACTGGAAAGAAATAAAGAAATTTAGAAAATACAAGTGTTGTGTTATTAAAATAATAACAACACATGTTACATACTACGAAGCAAATTATAGTTAATTTACCAAAAACTCCAGATTACAAATTATATCCGTAGCAAAAGTGATACAAATTGTTTGCTACAGAGCACAATGTCAACTGTCCGTTGCAATGAAAGTTTACAAATTCAAAATCTGTCTGGAGTCGCATTCAGACATCAGCTGGAGCCCCACACACCTGAATAATTTCCTACCTAGCACTTTTCCCCATAACGTTACTGCATTGCTCATTGCTTTCAGGTGTTGTTAAATGATGTGTCAATCATTCTTTTGAAGCGACTAAAAGAAGTTCTGTTATTTTAATGCACCTTCTCTTTCCATTGTTTACTGTCAATGTTTAGCTTTTGACGCCCCAAGTTGCAATCCCGTCCCAAGGGAGAACTTCACACAGAGTGAAAGCATCCAAGAAAGAAGTTCTCGCTCTACTTAAGTAGGTTATTATTGTTAGCACTGTAGTATTCAATTTGCCATACGGCATTTCAGGAGAAATTCATAGACGCAGGCGTTTTCGATGTTTGAGGAAAAGAGATTTTGCCCTCTCTTGATGAAAAAGAGTTAATTTGGACGGAAATGAAATTTTTTACAATGTTGCACTTAGTCTTTCATATTTGCTGTTAGTAATTTAAAAGACATTTTGAAACACATATGGAACAATAAAAATTTTAAAATTATAACAACACAAAAATGAAAAGGGAACTCAGGCTACATTTATAGAAAGCCATAAATAATCCTTCAAAGAGCTGCATGTGGCTCGCAAGCCGCAGGTTGGTCACCCCTGGTCTATAGAATTAAAGAGTATTAACACACACACAAACACACACACAAAAAAAAAAAAAAAAAAAAAAAAAAAAAACACACAAAGCAACTTATACAATTTGAAAGAAATATTTAATAAAGTAAACAAATAACTATTAAGCTTTTTTTTTCCCCCCTAAATTTTGATACTCTTTAGATCATAAGTGCTTCATTATTTCATAAATCATGATTTCCTATTTTTAACTTTATTATGCCTACATGACATCTTACTAGATTTAAAATGATGATCTAATATCCGGAAAAATCCCAAATCTGGAATCGCGGATGTCCTGACAAGTCTGGATCTCAGACTGTACTTTAAAATTTTATCAGCACTTTCCAATTAAACTCCACTGGGTTTCAGTCCTAGCTGGTTTTATAAGCTTACCCAAGTTTTCTAATTGTAAACTGCAAAACTGTGACTGTAGTTTATCAGTTGAAACATCAGTATCATCTTTCATAACTATATGAAGTAAAACTGGAAATTTATTAAAAAAATATCTTATATCAGAAAAATTGTTTCAAAAGAATAAACAGTAAAGTTAAATTAAATTTAAATAATTCTCTTGTGCCATTGGTGCAAGGAATGAAATTTGAATTTAACAAACATCCTCTATTCCTAAAAAGCATATTTAAATTAATTAAATTTTAAATAACAAAATTTAATTGCAAACAAATAAATGATTAATTATTGCTGCGAATTAATCTACAATATCATTTAAATTCTGAGAGTATATGTAAATTAAGTGCAAGTATCAAAATCCATGAATAAATATGTAATTCCAAAAATTTTTAATCCTAAAAATTTTATAAAAATGCATAAGTGAATAACTGTTGAGCAAGCAGGAGACAGACTTATCAAGGGGAAATTGCCTCCAAACCTAACTCTTTAATCATTCATGTTTCGTCATCCACGTAGGCAAGGGTAAAAGTAAAAAAATCCAAAGTAAAATCAAATGTTGTGAATTACTAAAAAGAAATTTAAACAAGTGGAATTCTGAGAAATTGACAACGACAGAGCACATATTAAAAAATTCGCTACTACTAATTTTAACTCGCCTAATACAGCAGAATTAGAACATTTTCAAATACATAATTTCAGCAAAATTAGTATTCAAATTTTGGACATTGTGCCTGGATACAAAGAAAGATTATTTCAAGAGTCACTCTACATGCTTAAATTCAAAGCCCATATGGACTAAATACATTCAACCAACATTTTAAATTAAATTCTGGAATTCCAACTTACAGCCATTTTAAATTATTCAGTAAAAAAACATTACGAGGAACCAGAGCAGATAATAGACAGAAAAGTAAATTTTTTTTTGACAATAGACACAGTAAAGTCAAGCAATAATATTAATAATTACTTTCTTACTGAAAATTTCACCAAAAATATAGGAATATACCAAAAAAGGAAATAGAAATTTCACAAAAATGAACATATAACTTTTTAAATTTAAGTTCTAATACTTACACTTTCATAAGCTTCTTCTTCTGTTGAAAACTTCAAATATTCATCAATAAAAGCATTGAGAAATTTCTGTCTTACATTTGTAGGAACTTTACTACCATAATCAGCTGGTATAACAGGTCGAGGTTTAACAGCCTAGAATATTAAAAATTAATATTAACAATTCTCAGTTAACAAAGATGATAACTTTTTTAAATTACAAGGTTTAAAACAACATAAATCAAGCAAAATTTTAATGATTAAAGTACAAAAGTTAGCATAAGAGATTTAGGAAATAAGATAAGATTAATTATAATGAACTCTCTCTCTTTGAGACAACCACCCCTATTTTCAGATAATTCTGGTCTTACGTTTATTAGTGATGGTTATTATTGATCTGCTTAATGGACTTATTCAAAGCAATTAGAGTCTGTTAGAGAAAAAAACATTAAAGTAGCTATGCAACACCTTTACTAATAATAGCATATTAAAAATATTTTTAATTGATATAATTTAACATTTATTTTTCTCAAATATTGTAAATTAAGTAATATTTGAAAAAATTTCAGAAACACTCATCATTCAAACAACAAAATTTGTCTACTTGATTTTCCTGTTCACCTAATTATTAACACAATTTAGAACCTTTAAAATATTACATCCATTTCTCAAAATTGTGTATTTGTATATTATTTTACTTTTAGCTCAGACATACTACCATTTTTTAAATATCTTGATTAGAGTAAAGTATTTATTACTTACAGCAAACAAATAATTGCTTATTAAAAAAATTACTTTTTTTTTTCTAAATCTCTGAGATACACCATCACTGCTACTCTTTGTATTACATTTTTAGTACCATGCACACCTGAACATTTCAATGTCACTGATTTAGTGCATATTGAATGGTAACAGAAATCTGCTTCTCAGCATTATAAATATTCTTGAAATCATGATCTTTTACTTATGATAATTATTATTGTAGCCAGTCTACACAGGCAGAAAAAATGGTAAAGCGGGCATAAATAGTTCAGCACAATACAATTAATTATTTAATTGCATAATTAATCTTTATGATAAAATGATTAAGTGTCACAAATTAATCTTTATGATAAATTATATTCCATGAATTCATGAAGAATTTTTTTTTCTTTATATACATTTATTAATCTCTCAAAAAATTTTTCATTGATACTGAAATTAAGATAGTTTGGAGATTATGTGATTTTTGAGGTGTATTTCATAATGATGACTAGTTTATGAAGTTTTCTCAGAGAAGAATATCACAATTATTAACTCCAATATTTAATTATACACTAAAAAACAATAGTCACTTTTACAAATGATCTTTTCAGAAAGGAGTCATCATGAAAGGCTTCATAGCATTTGTAGAACAGAAATTAAAATGTCTTTAAACTCTTTAGCAAAATTAATAACTTTTATGCATTTTTATCTTTTTATGGATAACAAAACATTACTTTCAAAATTAATATAAAAATTAATGTATCTATTTTAACACTTTGGTATTTCTTTATTATTAGAAAACCCATTATTTAAATGATAAGATTAATACCAAGTTTTAATTAAGAACTTATACTTCTTGCATATAGTTTGTCTCATTGCAGTTACAAATAAATGGTATTTTGCAACCACTCAACCAGTTATCAGAATGTCCACTTTTCTTTCACACGTAACTAAAATTGCACCTACAAAATCCTTCATTGATTAAAAAAATTTCATTTTATAGTTCTTTTTGCATATTCAAATAAAATGCCTCTTTAAAGAGTAATACAGTATCATCCTGATTCCTTGGTAAATCAAAAATTGTTAACAATTAAAAAAAGAAAAAAAGAAAAAAGAAAAGAAAAGAAACTGTGTAAGACACTTATGTGGACCATAAGAGAACATTCACAAAAGGCTTTAAAAATCACATCTGTTACGGTCATAAAGCAAAAAAGTCACAACCTTCATTCATACCTGTTGAACAAAGTCCAAGACTTATCCAATCAGAGAAAACGGCATATGCATTAATGCATCTACATGTGTTAGCTTACTTGCTTTACTTTGAATGCTATCTTGTCATAAAATAAATAAGCTAGAACATTTAGGCAAAACTTTACATTTATAACACATTTTTGTGCAAAGCAGGGTCTAGCTGCCTAGCAACAATGTTCTGCATGTACCAATTAAGACTGCTGGCTATTTGGCAACTGTTTGCAGCAAACACTAGCGATTCGTCAATAATCCTAGTAAAAATTAAATACAAGGAAGATGCAATAAGGAATTGACAAAAAAAAAAAAATTATAATTAGTGATATCAGACACAGGGTAGGTTATAAATCAAATATTTATTACAACCTAAAACAAATCTATCCAATAACCAGGATAATGGGATAAAACGTATCTATTACTTTGGCAATTAGAGCATGGCACACAATTTAAAATCATTATGTGCAAATTGTAATTTTAAAAACTTAAATTATTGGTTCTCAATAAACATGATATTTTATACTAAAATTCAGGGTTCCTACACATTTCTGCACACGGAAATTAAGTACCTTTAAGGACTTTAAAGGACCATTAATGAAAAAAATTAAGAACCTGTTAGCAAATGGGAACTGAATAAATTCAATTAAAAATATTATATCTATGCCTGAACTTCACTTTTTAATACCCTCCTAAAAATAAAAGAGATCCGTAAGTAGGATGCATTATTATTAAACATAGCTTAATTAACATAATTATTAATGCATTTGAAAATAAAACAAATATTATCAAATTTATCAAGTATCAATTTGTATTTTATACTTATAATAACTGGACATATTTGAAAGAAGATAAGTGACATTTTAGTTAAGTTTTGCTAACAGCTTTTTTATTTTTAATGTCTCATTTTGTCACATATTTGCTCAGTCTAGAGGTTTAGTTAATAGTAAGTAGATTTTATGTCAAGAAGCACAGGTTAAAATGAGCATTAAAATCATAATCAACATGATTCATAACAAAAGACTGGCTGCTATCACTGCTCCTGCTTGCCTAGAGAGAAACCTGCTGATCAGAACAAACCTGTAGGTACAGTTAGTAAGTTCTGAAAGTTAGCTGAGGTCTGTCTGATGCAGTTAGTGTCGTAGCTTCGTGTAGAGTTCCACGGGTTGTAACTCAGTTAATATACTTTAAGGTTCTATTAAGCCACTAAAGCACTAGAGGTGATAAGTTGTTTTTCATTATTTTAAGTTTCACTAGATGCGAAGAATAAGTTTTACATGAATTTTTATATTTTTGTGTTTTACCTTGTGACCACAGTAAAGGTTAATGAAAGGCAATAACTCACTTTAATATGCAAAGATAATTTTTAAGGGTAACTAAGTTATAAGTAATTAAATTAGGTATTAGATACTCTTAATCATATGGATTTACATGGACACTATCAAATTAAATTTATTTTTTAATAATATTTGTTAGAAAAACCCTATTAATATCCCAATCTAATAAAATTTCACAGTTTAAAATACGTGCAATTTACGACATTGAATTTTAAACAATGTTAGGATAATTACACGTTAAACATTTATATTTTGTAGCAACAAAAGAAAATAAGCATGCATCTTTTTAATTTGAAGCCCTGCCCAGACATTTTGGCTAATTTATATCGATTTCCTTTTTTTTAAGCATCTTTTCTAACAATTAAGAAAAGATGCTTAAAAAACAGTTATTTTCTAACAATTAGAAATATTTGTCTCAATACGCAAAGCAAATATTCTCATTAGTTTCTGTCTGTGTTATCTTCCTAACTGTCAACCTCTCCACAGTGTACTACCTATGAGGGTTTACTTGATCTGATAAAAGTTAAATAGTCCCCCCCGCCCCCCCCCGACAGACGTGAAACAAATTATGGCTATGTCTGAAAAAAACTATAAATAAGAGGTTTAAATAAGCTTCTTATTTAAAAAGAACTTAGAACATAAAGGCATGTTCTTATGCTAACAAAATCAATTACAGCTCGTGGTGATGTAATTAAACGAGAAGAGTCAAATTCACACTAAAAAGATGGACTAGTAGTCAAAGACAAGTGACCAATTTAATTTCAATTTAATCTGGTTCAATAACTCATATATCATCATAATAAATTCAAATGTCAGCAGCGGTCAGAGCTAATAGGAGCAATACAAGGAGCAAGCAGAGGTCAGAAACACACCCTTGTCTTACACTCCAAAAACCTCAGTTTAAAAACTGTCTCAGTGATTTGCATAGAGGAAATAGAAATGAGAAATTATAGTAAAGGCTGAAATTGTTAACTGGGTAATTTACAAAATAATAACTACATATCTCTGAAGAATAATTTTCTTTCTCTTTATATATTTAGTTCGTATCTTCAACTTGTTTCCTTTTCATTATGTGAAATACATATGGAAAGGTCCGGTCACAGAGCTGGTGAGGCATAATTTTTAGAATTTAGTGACACACCGAGCAACAAAATCTAGAAATTGCAAAACATTTACAATTTAGATCAGGCATTGGAAGCAGAATTTAGAAAGGTACCAGGCAGAAGAATTTCGGATCCATAGAGACTGCATCAGGTGGCAAAATGCCTAGCGTCAGCCCTGTGTATGATGCATAAGACATATTAGATGAATTTTTGAATTGCCAGTTTTCAATTTTTTATTAATAACAAAATTTCTTTCTATAATGCCTGTCCATATGATAAAATTAGAAGCATTTTTGATATTTTCCATGCTTGTGTCTAGTGAAAAGTAGAGAAAAGAAAACTGATGCATATTCTGAGAATTCTGAAAATTCTGAGAAATGGAGAAAAACTCTTACTGTGAAAAAAAAGACGTTTCTAATTAATTTCATAGCTATCTTGCTTTTGCTAAAAACTGTTTCGTAAATTGTGCTTTATAGCATTACACCTTGCTTAATTTTCAGATTCAAAACATTGTATAATATGTGGCCAAAAATGGAACTTTATAATATGACAGTAAAAATTTATTTTAAAGTTATTTCTTAAGTATAATTCCAATACACTGCCATTATTTTAATGAAATTTATCAGTGTTACAATGTTCTAAAAAAGTCTCCAAAAATTTCCCAGAGTTCGGAGTTAAAAATTTTCCATAGAAACCGATCTTAAAATCGCCAAATTTAGAACCATTTAATAAAAGAATTCACATCCACAAAAGCAGAAAGTTGTTTACGAGCTCTTCATTACAAAAAATGAAATAATTTTGAAATGCTTATGTTCCACTTCTTGCTCAAAAACTCAAGTATCCCACCAGTTATATTACAAATAGAAACAAATTATAATCAATGAGCCCATTCACCCATACAAAAATTAACCATATTTGTCAGTGAATCGCCAGCAAAATGCTAATTCACACTCAAAATGGCAATCATAAAAACAGACAAAAATTTCAGATTATTAAAATTAAGAACCTTCTGCAGATTTTGGCCGAAATTAAGGACTTTTAAGGACTAAAAATCGATTCCAAAAAACTTAAGTACTTTTAAGGACCATACGAACCCTGTAATTGTATTTCAAAGATAAAACTATGCATTCTACTACAAGCAGAGCATAAAAAGGCAAATAATAGCAGTTTGGCAATTTCTATTAAAAAATAACATACATGGGAAAGAAATACTGAAAAGAAAACATTTGCCTATTTCTTCAAGTGCATAATTTTTTTGGGGGGAGGAGGATATATGTAGTGGTTTATACGAGGGCTATCCAGAAAGTAGATTACGTTTTGGAATAAAAAAATAAACAAAGTATAGGAAACAAATTTTATTATATACAGATGAAAGCCACACTCAAATACTACTTTTCTACATAGTCACCATACAAATTAAGGCATTTATCGTAGCGATGTACGAGCTTGGAAATTCCTTCGTCGAAAATTCGGCCGCCTGCGCCTTCAACCACTTCGTTACTCTCTTCTTGCAGCTGTGCGTCGTATCAAAACGCTGCATAGCCAGCCACTTCTTCATTGCTGGGAATAGGTGGAAGTCGCTCGGTGCCAGGTCGGGACTGTACGGCGGATGAGGAAACAACTCCCACTTAAAAGATTCAAGAACTTTACGAGTGAATTGACATTTGCCGTGTGGGGCCGGGCGTTGTCGTGAATCACAAGATCTAGAGCTCAACATTCCTCTGCGCTTGTTTTGAATTGCTCTTCTGAGTTTTTGGAGAGTTTGGCAATACCTTTGAGAGTTTATTGTAGTGCCTCTTTCCAGGAAGTCCACCAAAATTACACCTTTTTGTCCTAAAAAAACAGTCGCCATCATCTTCCTTGCCGACATTGTTTGCATGCATTTCTTGGGTTTTTGGGGAGACTTGTGTGCCCCCACTGCATTGATTGCAATTTTGTTTCACAGTTCACATGTTTCACCCATGTTTCGTCACCAGTAACGATGCGATCGAGTAAAGAGTCACCATCCTTATGGTAAGCGTCCAAAAAGTTCAACGCTGCAGCCATTCGCTGATTTTTTGTGGTCCTCTGTCAAGATTTTTGGAATCCATCTTGCACAAAACTTGTGGTAACCAAGCTTTTCGCTGATGATTTCGTGCAACAAACTTCGCGAAATTGTGGAAATGGAAAACTCAAATAAAGTTCCGTTATTGTGAAATTTCGATTTTCACGGACTTTAGCATCGACTTTTTCGAGAAGTTCGCGGTCACTATGCTGGGTCCCCACTTCGATCTTCGTCGTGAACATTGGTTCGGCCATTTTGAAATCTTATGACCCACTGACGCACTCCACCTTCAGTGATAATGTTGTCCCCATACACTTCACGAAGCTGCCGATAGATTTCTATCGGTTTACAGTTTTTTGCAGTCAGAAACCTTATTACTGAGCGCACCTCGCAGCTCGCGGGATTTTCAATTAACGCAGACATTTCAAACCGTCACAGTATCTGAACGGAGCACAGCACGAACCTCTCACTAGCACGGCTAGATGCAGACTGAGCTGCGCAACGCTCTGACCCCAAGATGGCCGCGCTAGCCCCGCCCCTAGCGGACACAGACGGAAACGTAATCTACTTCCTGGATGGCCCTCGTAGTATATACTAACTATGCTACATATTGCTCAGCACATATTTGGTTCCAATACATTAACTGATCATGCAGTATTAACACGTTGACGGCAGCACGGATATTCATTGTTCTTTCCATGTGTCAGAGCTTAAATTAACGGTCCATTTCATAGTGTGGTGCTACGCTGCCGCACAAAAAGAACAATGAATATCTGCACCGCCTTAAACTGTAGTACATTTTCAGAAATTGTTAAGAAAATATTCTTACTCATAGAAAAAATAAAAATTATATTTAATTTATAAGCTACATTTTGTTTTATACTGAATGTTTGATTACAATGTTAAAATGTTAATGTATACTGTTGAATAATTAAAATAAAATTTGTACTATTTATTATTTTTTGATATACAAACGTGACCCATCAGCGAGTCATGCAGGCAGCAGAACAATCAAGCATGACCCACCGGTGGGTTATGCCACCGCATAGAACAGACAAGTATGACTCACGGTGGGTCATGCCGCTCCACAAAACAGACAAGTATGACCCACCGGTGTCAATGTCTTAAAACAGATGCATATGGACTCACAAATTTGAAATTAAATTGAAGAGTATATGCATATAGGTCTTTTTTACAGACACAAAGTGAACATATAAAAATGTTTAGCAATTATCTTTTACAAGAGAATGATAAATTTATTTAGAATTTTTTCTAACAAGAAAAAGCAAAATTTATATCAGAATAAAAACTAAAAAGCATGGAAACAAACAAAAAAAATTTATAGAAAAAGTACTAGAAGTACATCAGCAAAGACGCAAATAAAACATCAAATACTTACCACATCAGGTACATGCGCTACTCTTTTTGTTACTTTCAGATTTTTTGATACTGTAGGAGGTAGTGGAGAAAAATCACCCAGGGCAGCATTATTCTTTGCCTGCATTTGCTTCTGTGTAACAGCAGCAAGAAGGCTAGGATTCGGCACTACTGATATACGTTTCTTATCAGGATGTCCACCCAATGCGTTCAAATTACCCGACTAAAAAAAATTTTTTAATTAAAGTAAAAATTTATTAAATAATAAATTTAAAAAAGAAATCTGAAGGTTTGAGATTTTTATATTATGCACTAACGGTGCTTTATGCTTTGAGAGCATCTGGGAAGGTGGAAAAATAATTGAAAACAGCATATCTTTAGAATTTTTTATAGAAAGTCTCGCACACTGGAGATAAAAATATTTTTTCTGTACTGTGCCACTGCTCGCTTTGAAACTATTCAGTTTCTTAATCAAAAATTTGTTAAAGTTTAAAAATATGAAATAGATAATAAAAAAATTCAGAATTCAAGATATTGGTTTCCAGGTGCCCATATTCAGGTGGAGGACAACTTTATTTAAAATTTTATGGCTCCAGGTGTTTTTTCACAATGTGAGATATATACATAAATTTGGCAGATTCTTCATTATTTAATTTCTTTAAATATTATACAGGGTGCTAACATTTAGTAGCAACAATCTGAAAAATGATACAGCCATTTATAGTGATTTGACACAAAACACCATTTCAAGACTAATAATATGCATTTAATTACAATTCTAGTACATTTAAGATATGGTTTTACCACATTTTCAATAATACAATTTAACATGCTTGAATGCAAAGCATTTTGCTTAAAATAATCTTAACACAGTCTTGCCACCACAAACTGAAATTTTGGAAAAAAAAATTATGGAGTAGACAGTCATGTCTGACTAAGTTTGAGATTGCAGAACAATATGAGATTCCGAAGAATTTGCTGAGTACAGTCTTCAAAGCCATACAAAAGATTATAGCTGTCGATCATATTGGCAGCAGAACTGCACTGTTTTCTAAATTTTTCTGGGAAGGAAAATTACTAGAAGTGGAGAAAATAGTAATTACTTATTGCAAAAAATGAGAAGCCAAAATAACCCTATCAATGGAAACCTGAAGGAGTGTGTGTGTGTGTGTGTGTGATTATGGCAAAGCCTTGAGGGCTATCTGCCTAAGGAAAAAGCCAAGTTGTTCCCCAAAGACGGACTCCAAAGATTTTAAAGAACCAAATGTTTGCAATTTGACTCAAATTTGCAAAAGAATTGAGACAGACATAGAGATACTGCTATTGAACAGAAAGAAGAAAAGTTAAAATCTCTGCTTTTAGAATATGCTAGAAGGCTCTCTCCGATCCTCCAGATTAGATAGTGATCAGAGTAGTTCATTTTTCAAAATTTCACCAAACAAAAGTTTTGTTTTTGAAAATGATACACACAGCAGTGAGAAAAGAGCTGGGCAGAAAATTAGAATATTATTTGTAGATAACATAGAAAATTCACAGAAGTTCCCACTTTTATTCATAGAAGGGGGAAAAAAATTAAGTGTCAAATGATTTTGTTTCTACACAACAAAGTGTGGAAAACAAGTCAAGGTTATGAAAACTTCTGGAGATAATTGTACTAACTTTTAAGAAAGAGAAAATTCTTTTTATAATGATACATAGAAATTACTGAACTTCAAGCGATCCAGGTTAAATTCCTTTTACTGAATTCAATATAGCCCATGGATCACGGAATCACTTTATTAATGTCAGTCAAATTTTACTAAGAAGAGCATATGATAGATAAAACATTCTAATTACTTTGAGAAATTTCATTACTGAAAGAGAGAGAGGCCTGAAATTCTTAGCATCCTAACTGAATCTGTCATTACTTGAACACCATCAACAGGAATATAGAGATTGTCACCAGTAACTTTAATGGCAAAGTTACAGTAGCAATTAATATGCAAGTACCAAATACCTTCAATACGATAATATATACCGGAAATAAATACATATATACCTTTAATGAGGCACTAAATTAAAGGGCTAAAAAAAGAACATATAATTTTAGATACCTTTTGCTCATTTTGCCGAGCATGCAGGGCTTTTATTTGGGCAAAACGATTGTGCATAACTTGAGCAGGATTAATCGATGGTTTTACAGCAAGTTTCTCCTTAGTCTGTGGAAGAAAATGTAACCAGAAATAAATAATTAAAATAGTTATAGAGTTTAAACAGCTGTATTTAATTTAAATCATTAAGCAAATTTTTAAATGAATGAAATATAGTCTTCATCTATAGAAGCTTTGGTTAGCTAAATAAGTTTAACAAAAATTAGAAAACTTTGTAACAGAACACTTTTGTTTTCCCCAACTCAAATAATGTATTTGCTTTCCATATTGCACATGCATATATCAAAACCACTACAAAGATGTAATTGCCAGGTTTCTTTATCGAAAAGAAAATAATATATTGCTTTTCATCTTCCAGGAATTTTTTTTATTTTTCAAACACTTTCCAGGAATAACTGGCTTACCTTAAATTATTTTGTTTTAAAGTACAAGATCGAACAATTTTTATAATTTGGTAACAAACAGGTTATTTGTCAAACTTATTCATATGACAACTGACAGTAAAGTTTCGGTGAAATAAAACAGGAATATAGCTTTAGTCTATTTGCTTCAAATTCCTATAAAGAAAATTATGTTAACTCTGCTTTCACACCTATACTCTCATCATCCATAAAATAAAGAAGCATTGTTTTAATTTTCAAAGAAGATACTGATCAAAATTTTTGATGCGGACCAAGCTTCATGCAGTGCTTGCTCACTGCAAATAATAAGAACATAAGGAATGGCATAATTTATTTGTTGTACAGTGTAAAATAAGCTTGAAATAATAATTTAGTCTTAAGTGACATGCAGACAAATTTTTCCTCAAAAACAAAAACAAACTTCTCAGGCACAGTTATTAAAAAAAAAGCTTTTATTTACTTCAGACATTGATGACATGGAGCTTCCAACATTGCACAAGATTTCTTTAAATGCTCTTAAACTATCTTTCACTAAGCACAAGCATAACTTTTCTGCAGTAATGGTATTGAATAAAAACTGAAATCATTAATTAACACTAAAATATTGATACTTTAAGAATACTTTTAAGAAGTTGTTATGAAAATGTATAAAAATTAAATCTGATTATAATTTTGGAAGAAGTTTATTTTAACTGTATATTATATATACACACACAACAAAATATAAAAATAGCCTAAAAATGAGCATTAAAAAATTTTTAAACACGTCCTGTGCTATAGCTGCAGGACTGAAGTAAAAAAAAAAAAAAACTTAAAGCATCTAAACTTATTATTAACTTGGAATAAAAGCAAGGCAATTCCTCTATACCATAATTATTGCAACCATGTATAAAAGGTTTAACACAAGATCAAAACAAATCCAATTAAAGAAACAATTCATAGTAGAACAAACTTGAAAAATAAAAATGTGAAAAGGAAAATACACAAAATTATGCAAATAAAAATTAATCTCCTTTCATTTAAACTCCAATTCAGAACTCATTAGGGAAAAATGAATTAAAGCTTCACAAAAGTCACTTAATATGTTTTGTTTCCCTGGACCATTTAAAATAAAAAACAGTAAAAAGATTTCATCAAATTTTTATTCAAGATTTTAAAATTCATATAAAACTGAAAGCTCAAATGATGAGTTCTGAATTGGAGTTTCAATGAAAGAAGATTAATTTTTATTTGTAAAATTTTGTATATTTTACCTTTCGTATTTTTATTTTACATGTTTGTTCTACTATGAATTCTTTCTTTAATTGGATTTGTTTTGATATTGTGTTAAACCTCTTATACACGGCTGCAATTATTATATTATAGAGGAATTGCCTTGCTTTTATTTTAATTTAATAATAAATTTAGATAATTTAAGTTTATATATATATTATATATCATTATAAACTTTCTAATTAATTATGTAAACACAAACAATTATCATTTATAAATTTATATTCAGAATAGTGAGAAATTTGCAGAAATCGAGGGAAAATATAAATTGCATGTTTCAGAACTTTAATAGGCAAAAGAACCTTTTCTGGTATAGAACAATATACACTAAACAATTTTTTATAGAAAGATGTGTATCCCAACTTATTAGCCATCATTTATTTAATTCTTGTGTGGATTCACATGAAGACACTGGAATAATGACAAAAATCTATTTGAGCATATTTTAAATGACACTGCTGCCTACTGGCCACTTAAATTTGTTGGTTTCATAGCTTATAGAAGTGTTTTTGTTTTCAAAGTAAATATTGTAACTACAATATTTTTAAAGTATGTCATTCTATTTTAATCCTATGTTTACCAACATGTTTACCAACCAAAAAGAATATTTCTTATGTTTAGAAAAATTTTACTACCATGCTGTCCCATAATACAAGGACCATACTGTAAGTGATGATGGTTGGTTTAACTTTTTTCATTAATTGACATAAATCATTCAAACTCCATGTTACTGGAGTGCTTGTTCAGCTGTATAAATGTGCAATTATAATTTTTTCATTGCAAATAAGTAATTAATGTGAAGTACAAACAATTAGCTATCATTGAGTTCCTAACAAAAGAAGGCTGCGAACAATCTGATATCCACAGAAGGCTACAAGATGTTTACAGAAATGATATCTTAAAATTAACAATGGCAAACTATTTAATTAAAAAAAAAAGCCAGAACTCATTAAACAGCTTCACAGTAGGAAGCCATCAAATGTATGTCTGATTCGAAAGTTATGTTCAACGATGGAGTGTATATTTTGCTTAAATGAAGGCTATGCCATATGAAGACATAGAATATCTTTGTATGAGAAGTCTCTTTAAAATCATTTTGCATTATTTTCAGTATAAGTGTTCATCAAAAAGATCCTAACGAAACCTGCAAGGTAACCACAACAAAGATGATTTTGGTCAATACGGGACTGCTATCAAAACAAGATTATCAGTGATACTCAGTATTATATTCTCTAAAATTCGAGTCCCTTTTTCAGAGATGGTGATCATGAGTGTTTTCACTTTATGTTCTACAGCTTCTATACATACAAATGATGCAATTATAATATCAAAAGTACCTTTTTTAAAGAAGCTGCAGCAGCATGTGCAAAGCGCTGTTTCCTCCGAATCAACAGATCCTCGCACTTTGAATCTGCTTCTTTTGATGAATCCTAACAAACGAAATACAGGACATTTCATTTTAAAATAAATACATTTTTATTAGCACTGCTTTAGTTTACAAACAAGTGCATACCAAGGTTTGTAAATTTCTTCTACAACAAATTAACCCATCAAAAGAAAAAAGCAATTAGGAAAAAATGTAAGAAATTTATTTTGTATTATTATACCTATATTTTTATTCATATGTAACTTTATATAAGGATGCATTCTATAAGTGTTCACTATTTGTATAATCACAGGACTTAACATTTATTTTGCCAATTTCTTTGTGGCAATATCTCTCATATTGAATCTCTTCTTCCTTAATTCATATTACAGTACAAGAAATGAATGCAATTTCAAAAGGAATTATTATCTTTTCTGAGACTGAAGTAAAAATGATAAGGAACGTATGTGCTCAAGTGGTCAAAAACCAAATTAACATATTACTTAACTAATTCCATGCATAAATGCAAGTTCATACGCAGAGGTGCAACAATTGTTTTATATTATTATCAAAATGAGTGGAACTTCTTGTAATAAGTGCTACAAGGTTATAGGAAAGAGGAGAAAGAATTCGACAAAGAAAAAAGTAAAAAATATGGCATAAACCGATACATGTTAAAAACTAAGAAATATTCTTAAAAACTATTATTTAAATATACAATTTAAAAAATAATTCATTTATAAAATTTTAATTTGTACTGATTTATTTTCTTATTGCACAAGCATGCTTGGCACACACACAAAAAAAGAAATTCAATGAAATAGCTGTTAGAATAAATTAGTGTCACTTTTGCATAAATGAAACTCAGCAACATCAAAAACAAATGAGCACCAAATGATATATATCAGTGAGAGGACTCTTTAAAGAAGCAGAAGTCTTAAAATATTTCGTACTTGCATTATTTTTCGTGCTTTATTCTTTTCAGCATGTTACCTTTTTTTATGGAATATACTTCTGATAATATTGCCTACTATAAAGCCTGAAGATTGTTAAAACCTATAAAAGAGTATCTTGTAAGTTCTTTATTTCAATACTTCAATTTAAATATTTGTAAAAACTGTTAACTTTGATTTGTATTCTATTTGTGTTAAGCAAACTCTCTAAGTTGTTAAATAAAGATCTCGTAATTAAGATAAAATAACACAGCAAACAAGTATTAACTCAGAAATGAAACAAAAAAAAAAAAAAAAAAAAACAAAAAAAAAAAAAAAAAAAAAAAAAAAAAAAAAAAAAAAAAAAGATAGTGCCAGTACCTTAACTCCTGTCTAGCCATTCTTATCTTATCTAATAAATACATCTTATTTTGTTCATTTGCGCTTTGGCAGCTGAGGATGATGGTTTGGTAAAACCATCGAAACTTGTCCTTTTAAAATTTGCAAATATAACGCCGATTTTTGTTTTTTGACTTCTAAATTAATAAAGATTTCATAGTTATTCTAACTTATAATTGTTTAAAAAAACTGTGTTAATAGTGTATTCAAACACCGCAATTGTGTTATATGCACAATATATCAATATCATCAGCAAACGAATAAGAATTCAACCACACTTTCCAGTATTTTTTGGCGGGAAATTATTTAATTATTTTGCATGTTACTGCAGAAATAAAAAAACATTTATTTTTAAATACATTAAACTTTTATTAGTAAAAATATCCCTTTTAGCAACTTTATGCATAAATCATTGCTTATACGTATCTTCCAGGCCTTTCCTTTTCTTCAAGTTTTTCCCACTGTCCTGTAAGAAATCCAACCTTGCTGAAGACTGCATAATCCAATTGTAAAATTAAAATTGCAGATAATTTTCCACATTCTAATTTATTATTTAAATGTTATTTACATAACAGTGTGATCATTAATAAACAGGGTGTGATTCAAAAGTTTCAAGAACTAGAAATTTATTGGACATTTAAGTACAGCGGACTAAAATTCTTCAAAATATGATCTTTTAGCATCAACACAGCATTGCCAGCGTGTCTTCCACTGTTCGTAGCCCTTCTGGAAGGCCTCGGGCATCATGGTGTCAAGGGCTCTAGTCAAAGCCTGCTGGTTGGCGCCAATGGAGTTGAATCGCTTCCCTTTTAGGCCTGTCTTGATTCGAGGGAAGAGGAAAAAGTCACTTGGAGCTAAGTCGCGGCTGTAGTGTGGCTGTGACAGTGTTGTCACGCTGAACTTGACTAAAACTTCGGCAGTGACGCACAACGTGTGATCGGGAGCGTTGTTGTGGTGGAGAATACAAGCGCCCTTGATTGCCAGGTGGACGCAGCAGAGCACTCCAGTGTAAAAGACCTGTGACAGTCTGTCCATGAGCAACAAACTCTTTGTGAATCACTCCTTTACCATAAAAAAAAAAAAAAAAACAATCAGCATGCACTTCACACGCGACTTGCTCATGCGAGCTTTCTTGGGCTTCGGTGAGGAAGCAGTATGCCATTTTGAGCATTCAAGTCAGAATTGTACTTGTAGACCCAGGTCTCATCACCAGTAACTACTTTCTGCAGAAGGTTTGGATCAACAATCAACTGTTGGAGCATTTCCTGGCAAACAGTCATGCGCCGTTTCTTCTGATCCACTGACAAAAGTCTTGGCACTAGTTTGGCACACACTTTTCGCATCATCAAATTCTCCGTCACAATCCTTCACACCATACTCTGACCAAGTCCCAGTTCATCGGCAATTAATCTAGTACTAAGACGACGGTCATTTTTAGTTCCCACACTCTCTCCACATTTTGATCCGTTCGGCTTGATGATGGCCTCCCAGAGCGGTCATCATCAACATTCCCGCGGCCATCTTTGAAATGTTTGTGCCACATGAAAAACAGTGCACGGAACATGGTTTTTTCCTTAAAGGCCTCTTCAATCATACCGAGAGTCTCTGTGGCAGTTTTGTTTAGCCGCACGCAAAACTTAATCACATAGCGTTGCTTCAAGTGGCTGCTCCATTTTCGCCTCTCCCACTTTTCAACCGAGGTCAATGATACACACTCATGCTGCAAGTGATGCACACTCTCCAGGGTTCCAGAGGCAACTGCCGCAGCATAAGTTCATTCCCTGAGACCCTTCCACTACTTCCCCCTATAGGTAGCTTGGTTGAGCTACAATTCCAAAGCTACAAAAGTTCAACTGAAGAAATTTTACGTGAGACATCTGAAAGTTTAGTTGCATAATAAATGAATAATAGCATACTTGATAATCATGTACACATATTTTCATATTTAATACCTTAATTCTGAGAAATTATAATGTCTTGGACAGTATGAAAAGTTCATGTTAATTTTATTCTAAATTTCAGAAAACAACCTTCAATCTTCTTTCAAATTTTAGAAAAGTTAAATGATTAGGTGACAATGAAATAAAATCTTCAATATGAAATATCTGAAGTAAAATAAATCATGGTGATCTAATCAAAACTAAAGCCAGATTGCAGATATTTAAGGAGCTTTCTTCTTCAACCAAAAGAAAGGAAAATTCCATGCAGCATACTACCGCCCCTTCCCAAAACATATAAATATATAATAAAGAGATTCAAAACCTTTAATTGCATTAGACCTATGTGACTGCAATGAAAAAGATACAAATTTGTGATCTCAGTTAAAGCATGACAGCACTAAAGTTTTAAACCTAAATTTTTTATTTTTCTAGAATGAATAGACAAAATTTCCTAGTGCTTGAAATAATAATGTACTGGATTTGCTGCTGTTGTTGATAAGATTTCGTTTTGAAAGTATAAAATACACAGCGGCTCACTATATTTTTGGATAATTATGTTTTTAGAATTTATTTGTAAAAAATATCTTCGAAACATTAAGAACTGGTTTTAGATTTTTCAACATTGTTTACATATTTAAAAACCTCTCACTGTTAATGCATAACATGTAACCCCCCCCCAAAAATGCTTAAAATGAAATAATTTATTTAAAAAATACTACAATTGAATCTGCATAATGATTCAGATGCTCAAAACTTCTTTTGAGAAATTTTGTTTTATTCGCTTTGAATTTAAATGATAATATATTTTAAGATTTATTGTCTTTAGATTGAAACTTTTAAATTCTTCAGCAGAATATTTTAGAACTTTCAAATTTCAAGTGAAAATGGCAAGATGTTACAAAGTAATTACAAATTCTATTAGAAATTATACAATTTAAATGTGATACTACTAGAAGCATCACAAAAATTGCTAATATTAAGAACTTATATTTCTTTGATGTTATGAAACAATGGATATTGCATGGAACAATTGAAAAAATTGTAATCAGAACCAAATTTTAAGTTGACACTAAGGAAATGGAGGTTTATGCTGTAGAAAATCAAGCAAATAAAATTTAAATCTGAAACTTCCAGATGAATTATCTGGGCACAAGAACATAACAGATAAATGGGAAGAATAAAATTATTTTTGAACAAGAAATTAAATCTGGTGTTAGAAAATTCATGGGAAAGATTTATTATACTAGAATAAGATATTTGGGTACTTTTCCGTTTTGCCGGTGCAGGCGATAAAGTCAGCAGTAATGGTACAACTGATGCCAAACGGAATATCCTCACTGGTAACCTTTTACGCCTCATTTTCAAATCAAGTCGCAGCCATTTCTTATCAGATTGATAGTTTTTTTCAATACTGGCATAAAATTACATAGCATTTTTACCAGATAGTTCAATTGTATGCCCTAAGACCATTCATGGTAATTAAGTCAATTAGGAAGCAATCACACCACTCACTCGAAGACGAAAATGTAGTAAATGCAATGTCAAGGGTTAAATTCATCAATTCTAATGGAATACACCAGCAAAGTAAAGCATTACATAATTTCTGAGTAAGCTATTCATACAAATTGAAACAATTCTTGCATTTAAACTTGTATTCCAAAATAAGATTTAACTTGAAATTAATGTACATAATTATTGAGAGAATTAGATTTTTGTAGCGTAGTTTACGTGAGATGAGATATCTTGGGGTCACGTGAAATGAACCGGCGAATCAGGATGTTGAACCATGAAAGCATAGTAAATTCTTAAATTAATGTCATTTTCCAAATTGATGAATTGATGAATTTATTGTCTTTATTTATTGGCATCTTACAAAATTTTAAACCATATTAAAATGTTTATGCCTTCAAAATAAAAAAATCTTAGAACTAACATTTTTTTATATGTATACTGTTTGTTGACACCAATAAAGTCAGTCTGCTTGCCGAGATTTGCGCCGGCTAAACGGTGCGGTTTATTTAATTATGGCAAAGCACACTAGGGCTACCTGCCTAAGGGGAGAAATGCCTTCGTGGAGGACTTTCTAAGGGAAACTGGCTTGTATACACGTTACACATGGGGAAAACCACGAAAACACCCATGCAGCCAGCGCGTTTGCGGGATTCGAACTACCAGTGTTCAGCAACTTTACCGCTCAGCCGCTGGTGGGCCTCGCCGGTGAAACTGAAAAATACCGATATTTGCACATAAATTAATATTTAATATATTTGGATCTAATGGACAAATTACTCTACAGCAATGTTTAACAAATAACTAACTAAATAAAAAAAAAGTATTGCCTATTAATACATACAGAAGTGAAGGCATACATAATAGTTCAAGGATATTCTGCTGCTTTTAAAGATGAAAATCTTTCTTTTTATAGAAAGTACTGCAGATCAGCATAAATATATAAAGATTCTGAATGAAAATCTGAAAATATCAGTGCAACAATTTGAAATAAAACATGCATTTAAGTTTTATCATGATAATGATTCTCAACATAAAATTTTAAATGTTTGATTATGGCTAATATACAACTGCCCTCAAATTAGCAAAATTTCTCCACATTTTCCAGAACTGAACCCTCACTAAACATACATGAAGTGAACTAGAAAAGAGAACAAAGAAACATATTTCTGTAAATGTGCAAAATGAAAGCAAGTTTTACTCAGAAATTTTGAGCATTTCTACATGAAAAAACTATGCTACAGAGCACAAAAAATATACTTTATAGCTAAAGGATATCCAATTAAATATTAAATGGCCTGTTTGCATATTTTTGCTAAATATTAACAATACACTGAGTATTTTACTAAGCAAAATATTTTTAGCACGTTCTGAAAAAATTAACTTTAGGAATGTTTCTAAATTTTTCCACAAGGAAGTTTTGAAACAGAAAATAGCATGGGAAAGCTATTTGCCAAAGGAAAGTGATACTTCCATGGAGAACTTTCTAAAAGCTTATGGAGAAAACCATAAAAAATTCCCAGCCTATTTCCCATGATTTAAATGTAGGTCGTAAAACCAGCATTCAGCAATTTTATTGTTCAGCCATTGGCGAGTTTGTCCAAAAACAAATACAAGTCACTGCACACAATTAAAGCTCAGTGGCACTCCCAACTAGATTAAAACGAAATACTAAAAACAAAAGCAATGAAAAGTTTAACAATTTGTTTTTGTTTTTTCAATACAGACTTTCAGATTTTTTATTAGATTCAAAATTTTATATAGAAAAGCCAAAATGTTTAGCCATTAAATTTTACAAATATTTAGCAATTTCTTTTTTTAATATAGACTTTTAGATTTTTTTATTACATTCAAAATTTTATTTAGAAAATCAAAAATGTTTAGTCACTAAATTTTACAAACATTTACTGCTAGAAATAACCAACATATAAGGCACAGTTTTACAAATATTAGTTATGAAAACGACTCAAACAAACCTCTTTATCAGAGCCAGCAGAATTATCTACATTTTCTGGAAAATTCTCATTATATATCCTCCAGCATTCTTCATTAGGATCTGATTCAGATTCTGAGGAGGAAACAGTGATAACAGATGTATCCATTTCTTCATCAACACTATTATGGCAGTTTTCTGCCTTAAGTTTTTTTGCTGTTGTTGAAGACACAGGAACATTTTTAATTTTAGATTTATGTTTTCTAGAAGATTCATGGTCAATATCTTCAAGTTTTCTTTTTTTGGTATCACTATCTTTTGATTTTGAGCCTGTGTCCAAATTGGTTGATTCCTTTTTACTGTGACCATGCTTACTTTTTTTTATTATGCTACTACTACTAACTTTTTCATCCTGAAGTTTAACCTTTTCACTTTTTTGAGAATTAGATACATTTTTATTTTGATGCTTTTTATCAGATAATATATCTGATGATTTATTCTTTTCCGAATCACGAATTTTATTACCCGAACTAGATTTTTTACTACTTGAAGACTTACTTTTACTATCAGATATCTTTTTACTAAGTTTTGTTTTATCAGCAGAATCTGAAGATTTTTTACTTTTAGAAGACACTGAATGCTTTTTAGATTTTTCATTTTGTTTATCACTTTCTGACTTTTTACTTTTTCTATCTAATGAATCAGTTTGCTTTTTAGATTTGGGTTTTTCAGTTGTACATTCAATAGACTCTGAAATTTGTATAAGGCTACCTTCTGAAATATCATCTGCTTTATTTTGTACTGAGGTATCAGGATATGTTTTTAAATTTATAGAATCAGATGATTCTTTTGACTCGGCAGTTTTAATACTTAAAATTTCTACTTCATCGGTGTCTTCAAATAGGTATGGTACCACTGATTTATTTTTTAACAGAGCTGTTTTAGATAATGTAGTCTTACTTTCTTTAGGTACAATGCTCTGTTTTGGAGGGCATGCTGGTTTACGAAAAGCATTTATTATTTGTTCTGTTTTCTTTGTCTCATCCAATATTTTATCAACTAAAGAAAATTTATCAATTTTAGTTTCTTCAGTTTTCTCAGAGACATCTATTTCTTTTTTAACAGGATCGATCTTTTTTGGACGTTGAGGAATTTCTTCATCAATGTCATCATCACTAAATTTTGGAGCACTAGCAGAATCATCTAAGTCATCATCAGAACTAAAAGGAGGAACATAAGCTCCAGCAGCAGACTCAATTGGTTCATCAATAAAAGTAACACTTTTCTTAACAACACATTTAACTTCAGTGGGATCATACTCCTCTATGTTCTTCTTTTTACGCAATGACAAAGAATAATCAGGTGTGTACTCATCACTCTTAGAAACACCTTGAGATATATTAAGCTCTTTCAATTTAGATATAGGAGTTGGTTTATATTCAGGCACAAAAGAAGTTGAAGGCCTATCTACATTAGAACTATTAGTCTTCAAAATGCCAGCAGGTTTTACACATCTGTCAACTGGAGTTGGAATATAAGTAGCATTCTCTTGACTATCGGTCACCATCTGCTTATGATATCCAGATTTGCTTAAAATATGTAAACTAGAATCTGGCTGGCTGTCAAAAAGATAATCTGTTTCATCAACAGATGAATACAGTGGTACTTCTTTAGTAAGATCTGAAAGAAAGAAGAAAATAAATATCTGCATTAGATTTCACTCTGTTCTACTGATTAAATATGTACACTTTTCTACTAAAGATAACATCAGTAAAAATTTGTGCTGTCTGATTATTCATATCCTTCAATGAAAAGCTGCAAAAATACACTGATAAGGCACAAAATGTCACCCCATTACCTAAATGTGGGTAGAGTAGACTTTAAGGTACCCCTTGTATTATGGCGAAGTTGTTGTTTGATTTATCGCCAAGTTGTTGTTTCATTTATGGTAGCCTGAGTAGTTGAATGTTATGAAAATCCTATTGTGACGTAATCGGGTGCATGACTCTGAGAAAATTTTGAATCCAGGACGTTTTGTAAGAGCTATTGTGGTGTATGTTGGTTTGATTCTTTAGACGGTAGAATGGCCGAATGTAGTAAGATTAATTTGAAGTTTCCATACGTTTTGAAGCGAAAGGGGAAAAGAGCTTTAATTGACTGGTGTGTAAATGAAGGTTTACTTAGTAGCCATTATAAGTGCCCTGTGTTACAGTTTATGTAGCTGGCCACGAGAGGGTGCAGCGTTTTTTACTTTTAGCTTGTTATATTTTTCTTACCGCATTGCGGATTTTTGAGATAGATGTAGTGGCAACCAAAAAAACATGATGAATGTTCTAATGTAAGCATACAATTCTTTTACATAGCTGTAAATAAAGCTTCTGTGTGATAAAAATGAAAAGGAATTCCAAGCTTTCCTGGATATTTATTAAGAAAGGTAAGCAAAATTTCACTTATCAATGTTGTTAAATGTAAATAATAAGAATAAGAAAAAAGATCATAAGTTACAACATGGTGCCAAAATTCCGAGATAACAGTGATCTTTAGATATATTGTGATTTAAGTATTTATTATTGTTCGATTAGTGATTGAATATTGATTATTAAGATGGATAAGTTAAAAGCACTAAAAAAGAAGCGAGGAATGTTAAGAGCATCAGTAACAAGACTGATAGCTAAAATGGAAAAGGAAATAGAATCGGATAATATTAAATTTGATTTATTAGAAGATGATTTATCCATCTTAAATGAAAATGAAAACGATATACTAATATTGAACTCTGAAATCGAATCTATCCTAACAGATGAAAAAGAGTACGAAACTGAAATACAGGATAGCTTGGAATATAAAAATAAAATTACCTTGTGTAAATCGAAGATCAGTAGAATATTTAGAAATAGAAAATGTGTTAAATTAAATGAGTTGCCATATAATTCTGCTACTATAGATACGGTAGAGAACACAAATACAAATGGCGCTAAACTTCCGAAACTAACCATAAATAAATTTAAAGGCGAAATATGTGAATTTCAAAGTTTTTGGGCTCAATACGAATCTGCTATACATAATAACTCTGCTTTAAAGGATGTAGACAAATTTAATTACCTCACATCTTTACTAACGGACACACAGCTTTAATGTCAATAAAGGGATTACCGTTAGTTGCCGAAAATTATGCTAAGGCAATAAATATTCTGAAAGAAAGGTTTGGTAGAGAGGACAGTTTTAATAAATGCACATATGAATCGTCTGCTGAATTTAAAGCCAGTTAAAAAAAATAGATGATATTAAAACATTACGTAACTTATATGATAGCTTAGAAATTGAAATTAGAAGCCTTGATTCCCTTAACGTTACTTACTTCGAATTCTTACAGCTATTTGTTATGCCCACTGTTAATGAGGATACTTTCCTAGCGAATTGGTTTTTTTAGAGTTTAATCGATCTTTAACCCCTGACACAGAAACCACAGTGATTAACATTTTGGAATTTCTGAAGAAGGAAGTTGAAAGCAGAGAGCGTACGTTTTTCCAAACATCGCCAAACTATTCCGAGTTTAACATTAGAACCGAACAACATAAACATCAATCGCGAGACCTTATTAAAAGTGAGAAATATCATACTGCCTTCAATAACAAACATTTTGTTCCAGCAGTTGCGTCGTTGAATACGAATACATCAAGAGCCGATTGTATATTTTGTGGGAAGATAGAAAATGAATCTTTGAAACATTCTACTTCAAATTGCGCAATTCCAATTGAGGAAAAAAGAAAAAATCTAAAATTGGCTAACAGATGCTATTTATGCTTTCGTAGGTCTCATACATCTGCCCGTTGCAGCTCGAATATACGCTGTGATTTATGTTCATTAAGGCATAATACTATTTTATATGATAATAAATTTGAAAATAAACGGGAAAGTAAAGGTGAGCTTAAAACAGACACAGTGGTGGCGTCAATTTCGGAAAGAGATAACAAAAATAGGGTTTATTTACAAACTGCAAATGCAATAGCTTTAGGTCAGAATAGAAGAAAAAATGTAAGACTCATTTTCGATTCTGCCTCTCATAAATCTTTCATCCTGACAGAAGTATCAAAACAATAAAATTAAGTGTTGTGGGGGAAGAAGAACTTCAGATTTACACCTTCGGCTCTACTGAGCCTACAGTTAAAAAGGCTAAAAAGGTTAAGGTTATTCTTAAAGATATATGTGGACCTGGGAAAATAATAATTGAAGCTCTTGAAACTCCAGAAATTAATCAAGCTGTTATTGGTATGCCAGGAAAGGAAATACTTAATTATTGTAAGGAAAATTCGATAAGACTTGCTGATGCTACAGATATAGGTGTCCATAACTCTCAAATATCAGTATTAATTGGTAATGATTATTACTGGAAAATAGTCACTGGAAAAGTTAAAAGATTATCAAAGGGTCTTGTTGCCTCTGAAACCTTATTTGGTTACACTATAAGCGGAACTGAAGCATTAAGTAATGTTTCTACACTTCATTCCGGAATTACGGTAATGAATGTTGTTGAGAATACTTCACATCCACATGATTTGGAAATTAGTGCAGCTCTAAAAAGGCTATGGGATTTAGATGCAATTGGAATACATGACTATTCAGCAAATGAAAATGACACTGAAGTTATGCGTAGATTTGAAGAAACTATTGAATATAAAACCAATCGTTATGAAGTTTCATTACCTTGGAAGGACAATATGAACAAAATGGGTAGTAATTATAACATCGCCTTAAACAGATGGAACAGTTTACTTAGAAGGTTTAAGAAAAATCCTGAAATTTATGACAAGTATTCAAGGGTAATTGAAGATTATCTAAATAAAGGAATAGCTGAAAAGGCTCCGAAGAATTCTGAAGAAAACATCTATTATTTGCCACACCATTGTGTAATCAGAGAAGATCACGATTAAGGGTTGTATTTGATGCTACGAAATTAAGGGTCGTAATTTGATGTTTCCTCGCATACTCATGACAGTCTATCTTTAAATGATTGCTTACATTCAGGACCAAATTTAAACCCTGAATTATTAGATTTGCTAATTAAATTTCGTCAACACAAAATAGCATTTGCTGCAGATATCGAAGCTGCTTTTCTACAAATTCTGTTGAAGCCTGAGGACAGAAATGCAGTAAGATTTCTTTGGACTTCAAAGGAAAAGGAGCAACCGACGATTTTAAGAATGACGCGTGTAATATTTGGAGCAACCTGTAGCCCCTTTTTACTAGCAGCAACTATAAAGCATCACGCAAGAAAGTTGAAAGCACAATATTCGAAGATCTGTCAGCTTCTTGAAGAAAATTTTTACGTAGATGATTTGATTCATGGTACAGATGATGAAGAAGAAGCTGCAGAAATTTATGAAGATGTGAAAAGGATTATGATGCTTGCTAGTTTCAATATGAGAAAGTGGAGGAGCAATAACGCCCAATTACATGCGATTTGGAATGCAGCTGAAAATACGAAGTTTAATGGAGACGGAATGAATAGCACTTTGTTAGGATATATTTGGAACCATGAAGCAGATAAACTGAAATTTCGAATCAAAGATGAATTACTCACGGATCCGACTGAGGAAATAACAAAACGGAAGATTCTTCAAGTTGCGGGCGAACTATACGATCCTATCGGTTTCATATCTCCCTTTGTTGTTGCAGCTAAAATGATGATGCAAGAATGTTGGCAAAGAGGTTACCAATGGGATGCACCACTTGATCAAGAATTGCAGAATCGATTTAAAACCTGGTATAATGAAATTCCTAAATTAAAAAATGTTGAAATTCCAAGACATTATTTCAACAATCTGTCAAAAGGAAATCTGCCGAATATTCAATTGCACTGTTTTACAGATAATAGCCAAAAGGGATATGGTGCCGTTGTATATTTGAGATACAATGAAAACGAGTTAACAAAAACATCATTTGTTATGTCCAAAGCAAGAGTTGCTCCCATAAAAAGGGTTACGTTACCTCGACTGGAGCTTTTAGGAGCAGTCATAGGAGCTCGACTCATCACATACATCCGACATTTGTTGAAAAACATAGAAATGAAAATTTATATGTGGATAGATTCAGAAATTGTATTACATTGGGTCAAGGCTGATCCGACAAAATGGAAACAATTTGTACGAAATAGGTGTCTAGAAATACAAGAGAAAACTGATCCAGATTGGTGGAATTATTGTCCCAGCCATGAGAATCCTTCGGACTTATTGACGAGAGGACAGAAGGTAGAAACCCTTTCAAAAAATGAGCTGTGGTGGTATGGCCCACCTTGGCTTGTCAAAGACAACAACGTTTGGCCCAGATCTTCGAGAAATTTTAAGGAAGATGATAAAATAACAAATTCTGAGAAACGTAAAGGAAAGAAGCAAGAAATCTTAACCGCAAACTGTATTGTTGAAAACAGCGAACCTATCATTCCTATCGAGAACTTTAGTGACATAAAAAAAGGTATATAGAATAACATCTTATGTTTTCAGATTTATCAATATTTGAAAAACCCAAAACTAAGAAGAACTGGACCTGTTAAGGCTGAAGAGATGAATGAAGCAGAGAATTTCTGGATCAAGAAAACTCAGGAAGAAAATTTTAGAGAAGAAATAAGGAAATTAAAGATGAAACAAAGCATACATAGTTCGAAAATATTTACATTAAATCCA